AGGTAGCCAGGAGCGCTGCTGACTGTGGGGTGACAAGGTAGAAACCACAGCAGGATGTGGGAGAAAAGTGCCCCCGAGGCAGAGAAGAGGCAAAGCTACCCAAGCTCCTTTTGAAATATTGACATTTTGTCGAAACTGCAGACTTTTGTTTTTTGGACTTAAAAAGAAAACAACATTTATTTTGAGTTTCTCTTTTGAAGTGGGTGTTTGTGGAAGGCATTCTGTTTGTGTGTGTGCACCTGGTGCATGGATACCGAGGTGACAGATCCTCCAGAAATCCATCTGAAGAGCTGTCAAGCTATTAACTTACAGAATGAGCAGAGCAAAAAGGACAGTGCAGAAATTAAATATAGCACTTGAGCTTTTAAACTGCTCTGTCATTTGATTGAAATGTTTCCTTCCCCCTTGTTCCTGCTGCTATAAATCTTCCTTTCCTGACACATTATCCCTGTCCTAGATGGAGTTTCTGATGTTCACAGTTCCTGTGAAGTTTATTTTCAAACAAAACCGAGGCAGTCCGTGCAAGAATAACTATTTGGATTTGGGTTGACAAATATTTTCTAACCTGAAGCTAATATTTTTAAAGGTCCAGGCTGTTGAACAATGAAAACTAAAGCTGTGTCAGGTTGATTTAGAGATGTTTTTGTGGGTTTTTTTTGGTTTTTTTTCTTTTTAAAGCACGCTCAAAATTCACGCAGAGGAGTTTTAGTGCCTGCCTTAGAGGATTTTAATTTTATATCCCTTTTCTTCACATGAAAATAGGGTCTCATGCAGGATCAGCCAGTGAAATTCAGAGGGTACTGATGGAGAATCTGTCACAACACTTTTTCCTGATTTGATTTCATCAGCAGAATTTTGCAGGCCGTGTCCTGTGGCTGCTGCTCCGGGTGTCTGACCCTCGCTGGGGCTCCCTTGGTGTGTGGATGCCTGAGAATTTTCCCTGCAGCGCTTTTGTCCCGTGTGAAACCTGTTCTGCACCTGTCCCTGTCCTCTGTGTCTCGGGGGGTTCCTGCACCCCACACCCTCCATCCCCCACGGGCATTTTGGAAGCAGCATCGTCCCACGAGAACTCTTTTAAATCAGTTTTCACTCTGAAACTGAGCTAAAAGCCCGACCAGTTCTGGGGCCACCTGCTGCTGCTGCTGCTGCTGCTTTTCTGGCTGTTCCTCAATCCCCCTCCTCCTTTGGCTTCTCTGCGAGCAGTCAGTGGGGACAAATAAAAGAAAATAAATATGAAATGAGATGAAATGAAATGAGATGAAATGAAATGAGATAAAATGAAATGAAAGGAAATAAAATAAAATAAAATTAAAATAAAATAAAATAAAATAAAATAAAATAAAATAATGAAATGAAATAGAAATGAAATAAATATAAAATAGAATAGAATAGAATAAAATTTAAAAAATAAATAAAAATAAAAATAAAAAAATAAAATACTAAATTAAAATTAAATTAAAATAAAATAAAATAAAAATAAATAAAATAAAATAAAAACAAATTAAATAAAAATAAAATAAAATAAATAGAAAATAAATTAAAATAAAATAAAAATAAAAAAAATAAGATAGGATAGGATAGAATAGAATAAAATAAAATTTAAAAAATAAATAAAAATAAAAATAAAATAAAATACTAAATTAAATTTAAATTAAAATAAAAACAAATTAAATAAAATAAAAACAAATTAAATAAAAATAAAATAAATAGAAAATAAATTACATTAAAAAAAATAAAATAAAAATAAAAAAATAAGATAGGATAGGATAGAATAGAATAGAATAGAATAGAATAAAATAAAATTTAAAAAATAAATAAAAATAAAAATAAAAAAATAAAATACTAAATTAAAATTAAATTAAAATAAAATAAAAATAAATAAAATAAAAACAAATTAAATAAAAATAAAATAAAATAAATAGAAAATAAATTACATTAAAATAAAATAAAAATTAAAAAAATAAGATAGGATAGGATAGGATAGGATAGGATAGGATAGGATAGGATAGGATAAGATAGAATAAAATAAAATTTAAAAAATAAATAAAAATAAAAATAAAATAAAATACTAAATTAAATTTAAATTAAAATAAAAACAAATTAAATAAAATAAAAACAAATTAAATAAAAATAAAATAAATAGAAAATAAATTACATTAAAAAAAATAAAATAAAAATAAAAAAATAAGATAGGATAGGATAGAATAGAATAGAATAGAATAGAATAAAATAAAATTTAAAAAATAAATAAAAATAAAAATAAAAAAATAAAATACTAAATTAAAATTAAATTAAAATAAAATAAAAATAAATAAAATAAAAACAAATTAAATAAAAATAAAATAAAATAAATAGAAAATAAATTACATTAAAATAAAATAAAAATTAAAAAAATAAGATAGGATAGGATAGGATAGGATAGGATAGGATAGGATAGGATAGGATAAGATAGAATAAAATAAAATTTAAAAAATAAATAAAAATAAAAATAAAATAAAATACTAAATTAAATTTAAATTAAAATAAGATAAAATAAAAATAAAAAAAATAAGATAGGATAGGATAGGATAGGATAGGATAGGATAGGATAGAATAGAATAGAATAGAATAGAATAGAATAGAATAGAATAGAATAGAATAGAATAGAATAGAATAGAATAGAATAGAATAGAAAAA